TCAAGGCTGAGAAAACATTGACCAGTACTAACTGGACAATTCCTCTATAAGAGTTCAGACAAGAGCTAAGCTCAGGTCTACTTAGGAGGCACTTCAAAGATTTCACCTTCAATGAATGTTTTGGCAGCTTTTATTTATTTTTGTAGAAGCATTTGTGGATTACCTACATCCAGAAAGGAGATGACCCTGACTCACAACAACAAATAAAAACATAAACTAAAAAGTCTTGGTCGTCTTGACTGAAACTAGCCAACTAGCAGCACAGACCTCATGATTAGGTTTTAAAAAGAACGTTTTTAAACCAGTAAAAAGGCCAAACTTTTTTTTTTTGTTTAAAGTCTTGCTGTTTTTAAATTGTTTTACAAGAAAAGGGCCAGATAAAGAAGTTCTTCACTCTATTGGAAATGGGTGGTTAAAAATGATCATAACTCAAGAAGCCCATTCAAATACAGGTGTTTGTGGGCAGCTAGGAATGGCCAAGTACTATGAAGATAACAGTCATATCACAGATTTAAGCAAGTCTTCCAAAAACATATGATATAAAATGGAAGACAGAAAGATTATCATTCAAGGAAGGATTGCAAGAAAAATGGAGAATAAAATCCCGTTTTGCAGGAGTTCATTCTAGGCCCTAGGGGATATAACCCCAAGTCCTCAATTTTTGATATTATATCCTCAGTTAAAACCAAGTAGATTAAAAGCTGGGCTTCCTGCCTGGGTAGGGAGTTTGACTAGAAAACTTCTAACTCTGTTATTCCAACTCTGTTATTCTATTCTTCTTATCTAACTGCACAACTTGAAGATCAGTCTATGGTCAGAATATTGACTAATACGGTTCTGGGTAAGGCATCGCATTTATCATGTTACAAGTAATTCTCAACTTACAACAGTTCATTTACTGACCGTTCGAAGTTACAACGGCACTGAAAAAGTGACTTATGGCCAATTTTGACCTTCTGACAAGCAAAATCAATGGGGAAGCCAGATTCACTTAACAATCGCGTTACTTAACTTGACAGCTGCAGTGACTCACTTAATGACGGTGGCAAGAAAGGTCTAAAATGGGGCAAAACTCACTTCACAGCTGCCTCGCTTAGCAACGGAACTGTAAGGCCATTTAGTGAAACACCATTTGAGGCGAGCTAAGTTTTTTGTACATCTATTCAAACTGTGAAAATAACTCAATAACTTACTATACTTCAGCTGTTCCTTCACTATGATCCAGGTAAAATTGTTATAACAGAACAACAGAACAGAATAATGGAGTTGGAAGGGACCTTGGAGGTCTTCTAGTCCAACCCCCTGCACAAGCAAGGAGACCCTAAACCCGTGATGGCGAACCTATGGCACGCTTGCCACAGGTGGCATGCAAAGCCATTTGTGCCGGCAGGCAAGCTGCAGGCAAACTTATCTCACTGCGCATGCGTGCACCCACAGCTGATTTTCGGCTGGTTTGAGGCCTTTTTCGTACTCCCAGAGGCTTGAGGAAGGCTTCTGCAGGCTTTTCAGGCCGAAAACTAGGTCCGTTTTGATACTTCCTGTTTTTCCGGAAATACCGGAAGTGACAAAACAGATCTAGTTTTCGGCCCCAAACGGGCCAAAAATCAGCTGTGAGGCACAGTGCAGCTAAGGGAGCAGCGTGGGTGGGTGGGGATTGTGTGCACATGCGTGGGGGCCGTGGGGGCCACGCATTGCCTTCTGGGTGCTGGCACGTGAGTGTGCAAGCACAAGCACAATTTTAGGCACAGGAGCCCAAAAAGATTAGCCACCACTGCCCTATACCATTTCAGACAAATAGCTATCCAATCTCTCCTTGGAAACTTCCAGTGATGGAGCACCTACAACTTCTGGAGTTTTGTGTAATATTTTTAAGACACCTGTTAACTCTCATTTAACTTTACTTTGAATGGCTCTTCATTATTTCCTTCAATAAAAAATATCCTTTTTGGTCTCAGTATGCATTGAAAATCTTTTTGAGTGAACTTCTACGTAAAGATGAAAACTCAACAGCATATTGTGAATTTCAGTCCTTCTAGAAATGCGAAGCAATGCTACATAAATCGTTCCAGATCCTGCAAAATCCTAATTCAAAAGACCTTGATTCATAAATAGGAATAAAATAAATATTCTCAGTACTTTTGCCCTAGTTCTGTTTGCCACAGCCTGTCTCTTAAGTTCTGGCTCAGGTTACATCTCCATCTCAACCCCCAAACCTGAAAAGTTGGGATTTATATACAGGTAGTCCTCGACTTCCAATAGTTCATTTAGTGACTGTTCAAAGTAATGACATTACTGGAAAAAAAAAGTGACTTATGACTGTTTTTCACACTTAACAACCATTGCAGCACCTCCATGGTCACATGATCAAAATTTGGATTATTTATGACGATTGCAGCATCTCGGGGTCATGTAATCCCCTTTTGTGACCTTCTGACAAGTGGAAGTTGTTACTTCTAGTAGCAAGTTGTTACTAACTTAACTGCAGGGACTCAATTAACAAAAAAGATTGTAAAATCGAGCAAAACTCACTTAACAAATGTTTCATTTAGCAACATAAATTTTGCAGTCCGTTGCGGTCGTAACTCAAGGACTGCCTCTACTTACTAAGCATCCACAGTATGTGTCCTCTGGGTAAGTAACAGTATTAATCACAGCTAAAAGTTACCAGCTTTACTTAAATCGCATGACAAAACCATAGAAGCGTAATTAGATTTTATGTAATGCTAAATACCAGGCATGGTTGGATCTCATGTTGTTTTGTTTTGTTTTAAGTGAAAGAGGAAAGCCTTCATTTTAGCTGAAAGAGGGTATTTTTTTTAACCCTTTACCTTGAGGAGATAGCAAGTGTAAGAGGGGGGAAATCACAAATGTACACAAATTCAGTCTCTGCTGGTTCCACAGAAGGAAAACCTCAGGGCAATATTTTAAGGCCTCAGCCAGCCTAATTTATTGGGAACTCAACTTCTTAAAAAGACGTTTAGAATTGCAGGCAATATTGAAGTCCGATATTAGTGTCTGCTTTATTGCAAATATTCATTTCAGTTGCAATCCGTTGCTGAATAAGATCATATAATGGGAGGGAATAAAACCGAAAATAACAGCGGTAAATTACAGGTAGTCATCAACTTAGAACAGTTCATTTAGAAGTTACGATGATGATGATGACACTTGAAAAAAGAAACTTACAATCAATTTTCACAATCATTCAATGGTGAATGATTCCCTTCACTACTGTGGCAAGAGAGGTTGCAAAATGGGGCAAAATTCACTTAACAAAGGTTTCACCTAATGATGTAAATGTTGGGTTCAGTTGCAGTCATAAGTTGAGGATTACCTGCATCTATAAATGGAGAACTGAATCAAGCTGGACTACAAAAAAAAAATGGAATTCCTTTTGTTTTCATCTGCACGTTTGGGACAGTTTTAGCACAACACACAAAACACTGCTAACCCTAATGTACCATTGAAAGATCATAAGCCATTTTCTTCTCAGCCAGTCCTACCTCAAAGGAGTGTTGTTAAACCAAAAACACAAGGAGTGGGGAACAGCAAGAAAACTATAGATGCAATCCGCTTGAGAGTGCGAGATAGAAATGAAGCAAAATAAAACTAATTAAATGTTATCCAACTATAGTGTAGAATAGGATGGGATGGGATGGGATGGGATAGAATAGGATGGAATGGAATGGAATGGAATGGAATGGAATGGAATGGAATGGAATGGAATAGAATAGAATAGAATAGAATAGAATAGAATAGAATAGGAATAGGAATAGGAATAGGAATTCTTTATTGGCCAAGTGTGATTGGACACACAAGGAATTTGTCTTGGTGCAAATACTCTCAGTGTACATAAAAGAAAAGATACATTTGTCAAGAGTCAAGAATCACAAGGTACAATACTTAATAATAGTCATACGGTACAATAAAGCAATCAAATCAACAGGAAACAGTCAATATAGATCGTAAGGATACAAGCGACAAAGTTACAGTCATACAGTCACCAGTGGGAGGGGGTGGGCGGTAAGGCACCTACATTTTAAAATTTGAATCTAACGTTTGTAGATTTTTTTTCTTTTTCTTCTTATTATTATTTTGGCTCCTGTGCATTGACCCTCCTACATTTAGAGCCACCTTTCACCTGTCATAAACACATTCACATGCAAATTATATAGCATCCTATTCCTGAAAGGTTTTGTGGACTTCACATGCAAATCCGCCACCTTCTTTGATCAGGACTCCATAGTCCAAAGGCCAAACAATTTCCTCCATTCTAAAGAAGAAGAAAAGGGGGGGGGGGAATCACTTCTAAATCATTTGTTTTCCCGTGATTTATCCTCCTGTAAGATTTGGTTTTTTAAGTCAGCCGAGGGAAATACCCATAAATCTTTTGCAAACCTTCACAAAAGCTGGAATCCTGTATGTGTACATTTAAAAAAGAAAGAAAAAAAAGCAACATTATTGTGTCAAGGTTTCTATTCTTTCTGCTTGGAAGGGGGTTTCAAAACAAACTTTCACTTATGCAAACACAAAGCTGCAGAAGGAGGTTTTAAAAAAAAAAGGGAAACCGTAGGTCCCTTGCCGACTTCCACGTTAATTTTGAACTGATTTTGCAATATTTGGCTGATACACACCTACAGGCCCAAGGTGACGTTTGGTGGGGGTAGTAGAGAGAGCATTGAGAGTAATCTGTCTATTCCAAATAAATCCAAATCCTCTTTCTAGACTGATCCAAAATCCACAGAAGAGGAAAAAGGGGAAAAGAGAGAGAAAGAGAGACCTAGGGAATCGTTTTTTTTAAAAAAAGAAAAAGGACAGTAACACTTATGAAACTGGCTACTCACCAGCTAAAACCCAGCTTAAATCGACTTGCCAGGGGCCAGCGACCTGTTTGGCGTGTAAGTCTTGTGGACTTCACAAAGTTCTCCCCACCACCACCACCACCACCACCAACCCGGTCCCAGATTCCCAAAGGACACGTTTGGTTCCCCACCATTTACCTTCACGCTGGATCTCTTGGTCCTCGATTCTGCCTCCATGTTATCCCGAGAGTCCTTTTTCGTTACGTTAGTTCTCAACTTGTACGAGGTGGTGTTGGAAGATTTAATGAATAATCCAGAGACTTGCTGGGACGAATTGGAGTCCTCCGGATCTTTGTTACTGTGATAAACCACCCGGCTGTCAGATATATGAATGCTGGGAGCACAACCCATGGCTGTTTTCTTTGCGGTTTTTTCCCCCCTAAGCCGCTAGATCTCAAGGTTACTTCTCTCTCTCACTCTCTCTCTCTCTCTGTCTCTCTCCTTTTTTCTTCTTCCCTCCCTCGCTTGGGAACGTTGTCCTTTTTTTTCTTTCCAAAAGGGATTAACAACAGGCCGTTTCTGCCGAATGGTCCAGGGTCCCCCTCCACGCCGTCAGCTGTTTCTCAGGCACGGCCCCCCAAGTCCGGAGAAACATCGTTCCGGGCGGCCCCTCCGAAGGTCTGGATCCGAAGGCGCAGTGGGTGCGGCGAGGTAGAAGAGAGGGGGCTTGAAATTCCGGCTGGGCACTTAAATCACGACATTCTCTCTCTCTCTTTTTCTTTTTTCCTTCCCCCCCTCTCCCCTCCACGCAAAAGGGGAGAGGGAAAAATAGTCACCCCCTCTTTCTCCCCAAGGTTTGGGGGGGATTAAGAGGAGGGGAGGAGACACATCCCTTCTGGGCGGCGCTTCCCCCAGAACCCCCCCCCCCCTTTCTCTCTCTCTCTCTCTCTCTCTCTCTCTTAGCAAATAGACCTAGTCCGGTTTGGGGAAGGGGCGAAGGTGGGGTGGAGAGGGTCTCAATCGAGACCTTGCTATGAAAAGGTAAGGTAGGGGCGCCTCTCTGCTCCCACCCCAAGCCCAACCCCTCGCCTGGCACACCTCGCCCCCCTCCTGCCCCCACCCGCTCTCCCTGCGCACATAGGCAGCCCCCTCCCCTCTTTCTCAAGCTCCTAAACGTGGCTCCCCTAGCCGGGCTGGGAGGGGGTGGCGGCGACGGGCCCCCTCCGGGGTTATGCTCCCGCCTTCATCGTGCGCCCGTCCGAGTCATCTCCGCGGACAGACCCTCGTCCCCCACCCTTCCCTCCCTTTCCCACCGCGGCGCTTGCTTTGCAACCCTCCCCCCCCACCACCACCACCACCACGACCCCACCAGGGAGCCGGGGAAGCGCATTCACACGTTCGCCTCCCCCTTTCTGCCCCAAAGAGGCTTCCCCCTTCCGCCGCAACCTCGAGCAGGTCCCGCGGATTCCACCACGAGAAGGGCCTTCAAGGCAGATGGGGCCACCCAGTTGCGCGCCCCCCCCCCCACTCCCTCCCCGCCCCCCAAAAAAGAGAGAGAGGAGGGGGAGAGAAGAACCGTCCAAAGGAGAAGACAGGAGGAATGGGTGGGTGGGTGGGGGGCAATGCAGAAAGGGACGGGGGCGGGGGCTGGAGGAAAAGGAGGGATCCTAAACTTTAGAAGGATCCAGAGCACAAGAAGCAGATCTGCTCGCCGGGGGCCGACCCCCCCGCCGCCACCAACCCCACCAACACCGCCGTCGCCGCCTCTTCTTGCCCGAGCACCATCGCTCTGCGCTCTTGGCCAATCCTCCCCCCCCCTCACCCCACCACCCCCCAAAAAAGTCTCGCTTTGGTTTGGGGCACCCAAAGCGCTGCCAAATCCAAGCCCCGGAGGAGGAGAGTGGAGAGGGAGGGAGGGAAGGAGGGGGAGAGAAATCTAGGCAGGGAGGGGAGGGGGCGTCCGATCTGCTGCGGAATGAATTAAAATGGCGAGAGAAGGGGGGCTGCCGCTCGGTGCCCAAAGCCAGCTGCAGCCGAGGCGAGGCGCGGATCCCAGGCAAGGGTGCACCGCCGGCGGCTCCTCGCGCTCCTGGAAAGGCTTGGCTCGGCTCGGCTCCTCCGGCTTTGCAAAGGGCTGCCTCTGCTGCTGCGGCTCCTGCTTCTGCTCCCGCCCCGAAAGGGAGCCCCGGGGCCGTTCAGCTTGGCGGCTCCCCCCAGCAGCCTCCCTGGCTCGCCAGTCCGCTCCGGCGGAGTTTGACAGCCCCGGCGGGGCGCAGCATCGGCGCGGGCGGCGGCGCAGCCAATAAAAGTCCCCGCAAGGGCTGACCTCCAGCCTTTAGTGGCGTCAATGCAAACGAGCTTCCCGGCCCAATCCGGAGCCACCGGCGGCGGCGGCGGAGCGAACTTCAAACGCGCCTCTGCTCCGCCCGACCGCCCGACGCCCGCCAGGGGCGCCCTTGCAAGGCGGAGGCGGGGGGTGCGGGGAGAGCCGAGCGCGCCCCGGGCGGTGCAGCAGCCCGGAGGGAAAGTTCCTTGGTTGTCAGCCTTGGTGGGGTGGGGGAATCCCGCATTTGCAACCCCGCCTTTCCTTGCCTTCCTCCCCACCCACCGCACCCCGGGAACTCCCGGCGACTGGAAGGGGCAGACGGGTTGTGGGGGGGCAGTTTCCACGCCTCCGCCTTCCTGCGCTCCGGAGCCCGACGGGAGAAGCGCCCGCAGATGATGAGGTTCCAGGTGGGAAATTTTCAGAGATCCCGGGAAAAGGCAAGAGCCCCGGAAGATGCTTGGATGGAGAAGTCAGGCTCAGATGGTGTTGCACACGAACGACAGACACAAAGAGACAGACAGACAGACAAACACACACAGACTCAGACACACGAACCTGGCCTCCTTCAGACACTAGCAAAATTTCAGGAGCAGCATTTATAGAAGCTTTGAATTTTGCAGGATAGCTTTTAAACCGTTTTTATTCAACAGCGGAGGCCCCTGTTACTTCTGTGGCTTGTATTCTGTTGAATAGCAATCGTTGGGATTAAATATTTATACACACACACACACACACACACACACACACACACACACACACACACCTACATACATACATACAGTCAATATATAAGTTTGATTGTTGTGCCTTGAGGCCAGGTGTGTTTTTGTTGTTGTTTTGACACCTGGACAAGTCTACAGGTTTCTTTTTGGCAAGGCTTTTCAGAAGGGCTTTGCCTTCTTTCCTTCTTTCCCAGGGCTAAGAGAGAATTTTATTTTTATTTATTTTATTTTATTTGTCAGTCACTTATAAGATAATAGGTATAAGTATAAACATGAGTAAGAATACAGGAAATAGCTACAAATAAATGGGGACTATAGGACAGGGATGGGAGGCAGGATGGTGTACTTATGCACGCCTCTTAGTGTGCATGCATAAGAATGACTGGCCCAAGGCCACCCAGCTAGCTTCCTGCCTCAGAGGAGACTAGAACTCACTTCTCTCAGTTTCGGCCCCCACAATGTCTTAACTGTCACATCAAGCTGGCTCTCAGCCCTGGTACTATATAAGAATTTAATAAAAATTTAGAAGGGTAAATTTAGTGAATTGGCCACATCTAATAAATACAGAGAACCAACCTGCAATGCATACTTATTATTATTATTTAGCGTATGAAGAGAACATGACAAAAGAGAGGTAAACATATACACACACAATCCACATAATTATATAGAAAACTTCTATGGGGATATTAGCAGTGGCCTAATAACTGGATGTCCAGTTCGGCTATCCAGGTGATGTTTGGAGTTGCTTCCTGCAGGTCTAAGGAATAGCTGCGAATCAGGAATCAGAGAACACACACCATGGACAATTTTGCACAATATGTTTAATAGTTTAACAGAAATGTATAAAGCAACACAAAGTAGTAGTTCTGTCTAATAAAACCCAAGTGTCAATACACACAATAACCTTAATGGTATTAAGTCACTTTTTATCCAGAGTCAAAAGAATGTTTTCAAAAATATGATTGTTAGGATTTATTTTAGATGTTTGGAACTAGATTGTAAAATATCTGGACATCCAGATTAGGCAGCCCAGTTTTGGCTCTTATTATAAGGAACAAGGCCTCTTTAAATTCTTTCATAATCCAGACTCACTTCTGTTTTCTTTTGGGGTTAAGAAAGGAGAACAAGAGATTTCTAGGCCAAAAGTGAAAAAAAATCCAGTAGAAGAGGAGGTGATTAAGAAAATAATAGAAAGTGCAGAAATGAGTAAATTGACATTAGAAATTAGAGAGCAAGAAGATAAAGAATATTATAAAATATGGGATTTATTTTATCAATGTCTATAAGAAAATAGGGAAATAAAATATACTATAATGATATAATAGTAAAGTTAAGATAATACTAAGATAATATAACTGATAATAATAAGATACTGAAAATAATACTGATAATAAAACTGATAATAATAAGATAATATAACTGATTATAATAAAATGAATGATATTATGAACTCGGTTTTGTAAAAGTTGAGATTTGCTCGAAAAAGATGACATGAATTTATAATTATAGTCTAATAAGGAGTTAATAATAATATAGTATGCATAGTTGATCTATTTAATATGAATTTTAATCTAAATTTAGAAGGAAAAGACTGTTGATATTGTGCATGAGAGATGTGTACCAACTGACACACCATACAATGGAAAGATGGTTTTATTTGATGTTTTATGTTTGTATTTGCCGATGTTTGTTGTCAAAATAAATAAAAAACATTTTAAAAAAAGAGATTTCCAGGACATTCCTACAAATGGAGCATCAAAACAAGAATATTTACTGAAGTGTCCCACAGGTGCTTTGTTTAAGAGACAATTGGACTTTCTGGTTTTTTTCTTTTGAAGACTTTTCGCTTCTCATCCACGAAGCTTCTGAATTCATTCTGAATCTGAATGAGGATTCTTGGATGAGAAGCGAAACGTCGTCCAAAAAAACCCAGAAAATCCAGTTGCTTCCTGAAAAAAGCACCTTTGGGGCAACCATGACCTGGAGGACCGAGAATCTCCATAGACATTTATTGAAGCAGTCAAGGAGTGGGGTGGAGGAATGTCCAAAAAGTCAAAATGGCAGGTGTGAGATCAAAGCCCTGTCCCTTTGGATCTCGGTTGCTGCATCTTAGGCAAAAGGCCTTCCTTGCCAGAAAATGCATTACTAAATTAGAAAGGCAAGAGAAGAGCTGATGGCCATTTTACGCCGATGATGTTCCTCAAAAGCCATGCTCGGTGCCAACAGTCACAGTGACAGCAAATGTTAGAACTGCAGAGCGTGAAACGCTGGGCTTTTAAGACAAAGAACAGTACAGTTCAGCAACCTGGAAACCTGCCATCTACCAAGCCCAATCTATGTCCTCAGCCATTGAGAACATCTGACAGCGATCTTCCAAAATCCCTGCCTGGATTTTGTTTTTATTTTTTTCATCCTTCACTCGGCGTGTCCAGGACCAAACTTCTGGATGTCAGAGTCACCAATTTTGGGGAGGCGATGACTTGGAGTTGATTGGAGCTGCTACGTAGAAAGATCGAGGTAGTGTTCTGACCAAGACTTCCTGAGACAGTAAACAATCACATGCTGTTCCCAAAAACCTTTCTTTTTATTTCAACAGCTGTGAATTATATGCATTCACAGCCCGTAATGAGTCCCACACAGTTTATGAATAGTCCAACAGAAGTCTGCCACATGGATAAGGCTGATAAGAACCCACCTTTATCTCACTTGAAATGCTGCCAATGACTAAATTGCCAATTAGCTGTACAAGGCCAAACAGAGCACAAAGTCAACACAGAGCTTCAGAGTTAAACTGACCAGAATGAATAAAGTTGCTTCCTGCAAAGGCTCACTTCCCTTTGCTCCTCCTTTATGTCTTATGGGAGGGGCCAATCATCTCCAAGCCTTACTCCCAAGTCGCCCTTTTTGTCTTAACTGTTCTTGCCTTCTGTCAGCTCTGTGCAAGTGCGCACTGGGAACAGGCTCCCCCTGTTCCTCTGCCTTGCTGCTGTCCGATTCTGGAGGCTCCAGAGTCAGCACATAACTCTCAGATGACCCTGGCTCCATCTCTGTATCGGATGCAGGACCCTCGTCCGAGCCCTCCCTAGACTCCAGGACTAGCCCATGTTCTTCCCCACTGTCCGACCTCACCTTGTGACCACAACTGAGCCCAAAATGTATGTTGCCATGTGAGAAATTGGTTATGTGAGTTATGCCCTGTTTTGGGGCGTTTCTTGCCCCATTTGCTAAG